CTCTCCATAGCCCCCCAGCGTAGAGCCGCCCAGGCGCAACACTGCGCCTGCCTCGGTCCAACTCCCAACTCCCACCTCCCACCTTCCTTCCTGGGGGGTGGTTCTGCTTCAGACGGGGATTTTTGGCACGTCTCCTGGTAACTTGATGTGGGTAAGGATGACAAAAGCCAAATCGATGGAATTGTGCCATGTACCAAACACTATCGAATGTTGGCTCCGTTGTTCACGCCTGCTAAGTTTGAAGAGCCTTCAACCAAAAAAAAACAAAAACATCCTCTTGAACAGGCCCCTTGCTCGTTTTCATGATCTTTGGGCAGTCTTTTCCAAACACGTGTGTATCGACTGACTGTGGTGCAGTAGCTTCAGCTCAGAGTACAGGTTTGACTACGAATCGTACCAGCCACATGCTTGATACGCGGCCTTCAGTTACGCAGGAGTTGCTCCCGACTTGTGCATCAGAACTGATGCAAGATCTCCTCGCCTGAAGGGCTTAGGTCAGGCGGCCAAGGCAGCATGACACCCCACAAGCCAACCATTCAATCAACGCACTGGCTGAAAGACCTCAACCAGAAAGTGGTGGCTGGCGTGCAACTCATGCATATACCAGCCGGCATCCCCAACATGGGCACCAACATGCGGAGAGCGCGCCCATTCGGATTCCCAGTGCGAACGCCAAATCGTTTCGTTTGCCCCGGCCAACCAAAGAGTTCATAAGAGGCTTTCCCAGCAAGAAGACGGACCCATCTGGGTGTGTCTTCTTTTGAGGCTACTCCAAAATTTGGTGGTTTATAATTAAGACCAAAAGGAAACCGCCATTTCCGGGGGTCCACCAGAAGGCAGACCCAGGGATTCGCCATCTCCTCTGGGATTCGCCATTCGCCCTTCTCAGGCCCCAGCCCCGAGGATTCGCCCAGGCCCTGGACAAATTCGCCTGCGGATCGGATGTGGCGTCCGTCCGATTTGGCTTCCTTTAAGGGAACCAATCCCCTTCAGGTTCATGCCCAACGGAAGAAGGTCCTGCCCTTCGCACCAGCAAGTTTCTTGGTTGCATGCCCAAATCGTTGGCATGTTTCACCAGTTGGCAAAATCAGTGCTAGCAAGTGGTGCAGATGCACATGCCGTGTACCATCTCTACAAGACCTGGCAGACTTGCAGCAAGGTTGCCGAGCATGTCAATGTTTGGACAGCTAAGACGGATGCCCTCCAAATTGCAAAGGAACTCCCTTACTTTACCAAGGTCTTGGATGTGGTTCACTTGTACTGTGGGAATCTGCCGCTGCTTATGACTGGCTTTTCGCGCGGCCACTCTCAGCTCGCGGCTTGACCTCGATGGCAGGAGCAGCCACAAGGATTTTCTGGCCCGCATGGGCTGCAACCACCTGGCGGTGGTGAAAGCGGCCAGCCATTGACATCTTTAGACCAAAATGTAAACGTTGCAGTGGCCGTCTTTTACGACCCGGTGGTCAAGCCATTGTGGTTGTCAAAGGCTTGAGGCCAATAACCCACACAAAGCTAGCCGAGGGTTTGGGCAGTCGAAGCTCGGCATCTCGGCGCACCGAGCTAAGCGCCATGCTTTCAACTGCAAGCCCTTGCATGTGCACATGGAAAACTCACACACACACACACACACATTATAGGCAAAATCAACACTTTCTGTGATGAGGGCGTCTCCCATTCCCGCATCACTTTCAAATTGCCTTGGTATCATTAGAAGGTCCTAAACCAAGCTTCCTCAGCGCTTGGGTACCAAGCTCTTTAGTACTGCATTCTTTGTCGCTGCTTTGAGTGGAAATTCTGGAACTTGCGCAGATTTGCCCTTGTATCATGTCTTTTGCATGGCTTTGCTGCAAAGTGATGCCAATATTACATTGGCAGTCAAAGTACGCTAGAAATTCGCGAATGCGCAGAAATCCCTCGGACATGCGTGGAAACCTTGGAACGACCCACCATGTTTCAAACCTTTGTGGTTACCGCCTCTAAGTGGTGGATTGAAAATAAGCTTCTTTACAGGCATAGGCTTGCGCCTTGCTCATCTTGGAGAAAAAAACCTAACAGATAAAGAAAGTATATGAACGTGTGCTACTTAACGTCCAGGTGCATGTATGAAATACACACATACGACAAATGTTGGCCCATCTCAGCATGGCACGTTGAAGTTGAGCTGTCCCAGCTGGGACCGCTGACACACCCGTAGAGATCTACTGGCCTGTCCTGGCCCGGTCCGCAACCCACGGGTTTTGCCAAAGGCGCCCGTTCGCGCAGTGCCCGTCTGGTTGGCAAAAAGGAGAACCACAGCTCATCTCCCAGCACCTGGGGAGCGTGGCGTCCATCGAGGGGGAGGCACGGGACATGTTGGGGAGTGTTGGGGCTTTAAATGTGGAAGTCGGGCATGTAGCAAAGTTCTTGCCCAGTCGTCCTTACCAATGACCCTCCACTCTTGCTGTTGCAGGCTCCCGTGGTCGCAAACGCCAGGGCATGCAAGCAAGACCGAGCAGCTATCGACCCCTGTCTCCACCTCGAATATGATTTCTCGAGGGCCATTGCTTAGGATGTGTCTTTCATGTCCCATTTGACTGGTTTTTTGCACGTTTCAAAAGTAGATGTGCATCTTCGACACCGATCCGCGCTCCGATGCAGAAACACATGTCAAACTATTGCCTAGGCCAAACGGGTGCCCGTTCGCCCTTGCAACTTTGAACCTGGCCTTGGCCAAAAAACTGATCCGCATATTTAGCCAAGGAAAAAGCAGGGGCCTTCCAGGCAACGCGCGCCACAAATCTTGGTTGCTGTTAACCCCTCTGCAAAAAATAACCTTTTGTGGATTTAGTGGAAAACCCAACTTGATTTCCCAGTTAAAGTCTAAAGATCCACACCCAATAGCAACCAAGGAATCATTCCCATCGGATGCGAATCCGATGGCCGAGGGCCTCAATGCCGGGCAGCTTTTGCGGGCCATCGCTCTCCGGCGCCGCCTCGAGAGCCGTTAGGGGTCAAAGGAAGTTTTTCCGCCGTGGTCAAGGAATGTGCGGTGGGAAGGACCCGAAATCCCCTGGGCCCTTTGCCGGAAACTTGAAACCACAAGGAAATGGTTCGTCTAGGGGTCATTCCGTCATTCCCTGTTGAGAAGCAAGGCAACCACGCCACGCACGCAGCCACGTAAACACGCGAATGCATGCGCACAAGCACATGTCATGCAACCACTGGGCCAAACATGCTGACCAACCGTCAGCTAGCCTGTTCGAATCCCGGGGGCCTAATCGCAATCCGCAATCTGCTCATGTAGTCCTTGAGTTGGTATTCTTCTTTATCCGCAATCTGCACTTCAAACTTTCGGTCAAAACCATATTGGAGCATGAAAAGCCCGTGCCAGGCATCCACAACCACATAATCTAACCTGCAAACCGCACAATCCATAATTTGCTACTCATTGGGGAGTCGGTTTTGAACAAGCTGGATTTGGGAAAGCCATGCCCACCAAAACAATGCATCTCACATCAACAAAAAGGTGATGGGACACAGCTAACGATCCAAAAGCTAAATCACTGGTTGCAACAGTGAAAGGCTGAACCAGAGCGCAAGAATCCGGCAGAGCACGCGCAATGCTGCTCTGATCGCACTTCGTTTGGCAAACGGGGGGTGCATGCAACACCACCCCTCACACTTCCAGTGTCACGAGGGTGCAGGGCTCACTTTACCAAATGGGTTTGACCTACCCGGTGGATCGAGGCATTGCAACAACTAAGGCCACTGCCGTGTTGGTGGAAGGTGGGGCAACCATTGTGACCGGCCTGGGTCGCAGGGCACACATGCAACGTGTCTCTTCTGAAGTTCCGCCCCTGAGTCAACTAGCGCTTGGTTATTCGGGCTGCCTCTCCACAGCCCTCCATTCGTGAAAGGCGACATGACACCATAGGGATTTGTCAATTCGACTCGGAACGCCAGCTGGTGGCAGCAAGCCTCCAATAGCACTTCCCTAACGCAACCCCAAAATAGCAGCCGCTGGAGTGGACAACCACCACCTTGTGGATATCTGCTTTGGGAGTTGGTACCCTTTTGACGGGGTCTTTTCAATTGAACCCCCAGGAACACATTTTGTGGGCGTGCTCACATTGCGACAGGCGAACATGCGAAAATGCGCGGAACACCCCTGCTAGCAGTAGGACGTTTCTTCATGACGGGCCAGCATCACGCGGAAGGCACGGTGAAACTCTCAGGAGTGACGCATTCGTACAATGCCTAAAGCTACGAGGCAAAAACCATGTCCAGTGAAACGAGCTTAGCTTCAAGGAAGCGCAAGCCACAAAAAAACACTGACCTGAGATGCGAATTGGGTCCGGAGTCCGGGCTACCATGCAAAGGCTCATCTCCATTCGGAGATGTTCAGTTCTGCATTCCTAAGCGGTTGCCTTAAAGGAAGGCGTGGAATGACTGGTCTGAAGGATCTTGGCGCTAAAAGCCTCGCTCTTCATCAGAGACTCCAGCTTGGACTCCAACTTCTTCGAGTCGAACTTCGAATCGATGCGTTGCTTCAAGATCTCTGACTTCACCATTTCCCGGGCCTAGGCTTTGAAAATGGGTTGGGCTCCATACGAGGAACCCGCGATCATTGTTGGGTAGGCTCTGTTCCACTGCCGCTTTTTTTTTGGTGTGTAAACTACACCCAATGGATCCCAAGCAAGCCACAGAGTCAACCAGCAATTGTCCTAATTATGGGCATTTCTTGTGTGACAAGCCCTTCATTACCTATACAGGGAAATCAAGTTCTCAGCAGGGAATGAGGGAATGACCCCTACAACCCATCCACTGTGGTTTCCTTTTCTGCATAAGCAAGCCCCGAGAGCCTCAGGGTGGGACAAGCTTTTTGGAGCCCAAATAAGCCCCCTAAGTAAGGCCTTATTGAGGCCTCACTTGAAATCTAATTTGGGCTCCCTCCTCTCCCTCCCCTCCCTCCCCTCCCTCCCCTCCCCTCCCCTCCCCTCCCCTCCCCTCCCCTCCCCTCCCCTCCCCTCCCCTCCCCTCCCCTCCCCTCCCCTCCCCTCCCCTCCCCTCCCCCCCTCCCCTCCCCTCCCCTCCCCTCCCCTCCCTCCCTCCCTCCCCCCCAGCCCCAACTCAAAGTCCAAGGTGGAAGATCCCACCTTGTACGCCTCCGCCTGCGCGGCCCGCCGCAAGTCCCACATCCTCTGGCGCTCGTGGTTCAGGTGGTCGATCTTCTCGTCCTGGTGCTTGGCTCTTAAGAACGCACCGCCCCAACCCTCAGTTTGTAAGGAAAAACAAGTTTGTGGGAACATGCCCAGCTTGTAGGTCATTAGCTGAATGGTTTCTGGGGGGTTCGCAAAGTCACTGAGGGTTGCTGCTCTTTGTTCAACCACGCCGGGGTTAATGAGAATGGTGAACAAAATGGGCCCGCAAAGGCGAAACATCTGCGCCCTTGTTGGGGCCACATGTTGGATAGCCACAATTGGGAGAAATTCAAGCTGCTGGTCCAAAATGTCACCTTCACCGTGCACTGCAACAGAAGGCCTTTTGATGCAAAGGCGCGGCAAATTGGGAGCCGATTCATTTCACAAACACGAGCTTGATGCAGTCCTAGGCATGCTCAAATTTAGTATTGATTCAAGATCACCTGCAGCGCAGCTGGTCACGACCTTGCGGCCGAAAAAAAGACTTCAACAGCTGACCCGTGCGATCTTACTATATCAGCTTTCATCTGTGTAAAATGCTTCATCGCTTTGATTCAGGATTCGACCTCAAGCATCCAGTTGGCCGCGCTTCTGTGGTTTTGTGAGGAACGAGAAGCTGCCGCTTAGTTGCTCACAAGCGAGTGGGTCCTTCTTCTTCACGGAGTCGGCGATGGCCTCGCGCTCTGCCTCCTCCCGGCGGCGCTGGCGCTCCACGTTGATCTCCTTGTTCTTACCCCGCCTGGCGATTTGGCCAATGCCCCCCCCGCCCACGACAAAGTGGGAGAGTCTTTGTTGGCTGGGTAAACACAACTGGGCTGTCCTCAGATCTTCAGCTAAACGTTTACCTTTTAGTGGGTTAAATGGAAATCTCCACTAAACGCTAAAAAGCTAAGAAGCTAAGGGGACGGCTGGGAGCCACCAAGAAAACCGTTTTTTGTGGTTGGTGGCATTTCCTGGGTTGGCGGACATTTGTCAACAGAACGGCTCTCAGGGCGAAAGATCCAATTGCCAAGCCGCAGGCCATCCAACTCCCGCTTGAAGTCAAGGTATCTCTCCTTCTTCGCTTCCTTATGCGCGGAAGCCCCCTCCCCAAACCCAGAAAAACACCGCCAAGTCGCTTCCTGGGGAAATGATGGGAAATGCTCTGGAAAGAAGGCAAGTGAGTTTGGGCGGCACGTAAGGCGAGCCAACTGCAGATCAAACCTCCTTAGTTCACATGGCCCCCCCGTTATTCCAATTTGACCCCAAGCTTGCCGAGCGGCATGCTCCATGAGCCGGTACTCCGTCTCCTCCTGCTGGTCCAGGATGGCCATCCGTCGATCTTCGGCCTTCCGCATGGCCTCCTCCTTGATCATTTGCCGCTTCATCAGGGTGCGGAACTGCTTCTTCGCCGTCTCCTCCTGCCTATGGGGTTTCCATATGCCAAAAGATGCTCCACAGAGCACAAGAGCTTTGAACACTAAAAGAAAAAGCATGTTCCAACGGGAAACGATTAAAAAAGCGTGTTTCTCATCGAACCTTTGGGCGTCGCGTTTTCTCATCCGGCCTCTGAGCCATCTGCTGCATCAGCCTCTCCTCTCGCAACGAATCCTCCGCCTGCTTCTTTTCAAAGTCCTCCCTGCGCTTCTGCTCCATTTCCTGCCCAAGTGAACAATCCATAAAAAACCTGTCGCGAATAAGTGTAAACCACCTGAATACAAGGAGATGTCAGCTGGAAAGGTTTGAATTTAACTGGCACAAATGTATCCCTGAAGGGCCCGCCCGTACTGTGGATGGGCCACATCAACTTTAGTTCAATTAGGGATGAAACCCTATGAACATTGGGGTAAGCCACCTAATTACCAACTTGCTCGGTGTCAACCTGGATGTGACAGATTTGTTTCTGGGAGGCACTTGTGGCAAGAGCATCAAGCATAGCGTGCCCCAAAGACATGTTTTGTTTGTTGAGGGTACCCTTTTTGGCGCCCCCCAAAAAAGACACCCCCAAATGCGGTACAACGTAGGCAGCAGCAACAAATCACAAGGTCAACAAGTCGTGTTCGGACCACTGCCGAAGATGCACGCCTTTGACGCTGGCTGCCCCAAGAGCTCACGTCGGGCTCATCTCTTCGATTGATACCCTCCCACCAATTGACATGGAACCTGACGTTCAGAGGGTCCTGGTTTGGACCATTTTCCTTCTAAGGGGAGCCCCGCGCGTTCCATGTTAATTATTAATTGGTGGGAGGGCATTGCTGTTCCATTGCTTCGAGAAACCTTGTGATGGAATGCCTGGCTTTGCTCACACATGCACCATAATTCTCCCACACACGACTCGGAAGGAAACTGAGCCTACCAGCCGGATTAGAAGGACAATGCGTGCAAATGGCAATCGTGCCCGGGGGTGGGACAACAAACAGCTACAGAACTCTTCAGGTAAAGAGCTCCTGCTTTAAGAAAGGCCGAGTCAAAGACAGCAATTGCAAGAACATGCGTTCAGGTGCTGGAAAATGCAGCTGGACGTCAATGTAAGCCCAACATGTTGCGCTTTCCTCAACCCCGTCCTGGTTGACCAAAATGCTGTTGTAGATACGCATGTCCCGGACCTCTTTGCGTTCCCGCATCAGATCCTGTGCATGGCAGCGAAGCTGACATTCACATCGTCACCGCGTGACGATGCAGCATGGCTGATGCATGGCTCAAGTTCACACAACACCTTCCACAAGCACACACGCAACATTCATGCATTGCATTATGTCAGGTTACATTGCATAGCACTACGCGACTTCGCATAGATGCATTACATTGTTGTTATGTCACGCTACGATACATTAACATTACTTCACACTGTGTACATTGCTGCATATGTTGTACTGAATTGCAATACATGGGGTTACAATACATGACGCTACCTCACATGACGTAACATTGCACGACGTTGCGTTGCGTTCCGTTGCAAGCCTTGCATACGTTGGATTAGATTAGATTGCATTGCAGGCACTGTGTCGTGCTACAGTACATTAAAAAAAAAAAAAAAACATGACACAATGCTGCGTTGCGGCACATTCGTTACAAACACATGGCACGCATACCTGCAAACGTAGATGCTTTGCTCACTTGCCCAAAGGAGTTGGAAATACAAGGTTAACCTTTTGGTACCTCTACTAAAAATGGGCCAAAATGGGAAAACCAAAAGGTCAAAAGGTCGGCTTTGGGCAACTGAGTTTGCATCGGCACGCGCACACACACACACATGCATACGCACGTACGGCGGGCGGTGACAAATTTCGCAGTGGACTGAGCTCTGCTATCACGAGAAAAACGGAGACTCGTGACTTGTTGGCACTTGGGGATGAAGTGTTCCCGCGCAAGTTGAGCAGCTGGCCAAACCAGTGCGTATGCAAAACTCAGGCACGACAAGCTCGACTTGAAAAGCATCACAGTCTCAGGGAAATAGACACCCAGGATGAATACACTTTCCTCAAGAAAAGTGGCGTCCATCAGTTCCTGCCACTTTTACGGCACTACAACCAAGTAGTTCTTATCTCGTTTTTTTCCAGCTGAATTCCCGCATCACCGCGGCGCATCGCTGTGTGAAGGGTCTCCTGGAAGGCTTCCTGCTTCTGCGC